CTTTCTCTCTCTCTCTCTCTCTCTCTCTCTCTCTCTCTCTCTCTCTCTCTTTTTTCAGTCCCAAACCCTTCATTAGCAACTGTACATAGCTAAACATCTGCTATAAACATCTGTTATAAAACAATTACATTTTTATTTGATTTATTTGTTACTTGATACAAAATGATATTGGCTGGATACGGAGTGCCTGAAGAAGCTAGAAATGCCTCTACAAGCATTTGTTTGTAAACAGTAACTTCATCTAAGTATATATGATGCTCAAAGAACGTGTTTCTTTCTCTTCTTCCAGACTTCCACTACAGTGAAAGAGGGTGAAAAAGATCCTGAAACCAGTGAAAAAGCTCAGACATCCGAAAGTCCAACAAAAGCTTCTGATGACTCAAAAACAAAGGAAAGTCCTGCCATTTCTCAGTCTTCTCCAGAAGAAAAGAGTGAGAAAGAAAAACAAGAGGAGGAGAGCACTGACAAAGAGGCCTCCCCAGAGAAAACGCCAGATTCTCCATCTGTTAAAAACGAGAGTAGAGGTAACTGCGGCAGCAAATGGTGAAATCTGATTGGCTGTCGTGCCAGTCAGTCATTTTATTGTGATTTGTGGTTGATTGTTGTCTGTCATTACAGAGGCTTTGAAAGGGGACAAGGGAGAGAAACGGGAAAAGGCTGGAGAAGAAAAGGAGAGGAGTGAAGTGACATCTCTTCCCACAGAAACAACCGAAAAGAAAGAGAAATTAGATCAATCTTCTGAAATCAAAAAAGGTGAACATTACAATGCTACTCTTTTATTTCTTCGCATTGTGTAAATTATATAGTTGTGTAGAGAAGAATGAAAAACTACTGTACTAAAGTTGTTTATACAATCTATCACACATATTCACAAAAACTGAGTACAGCACCTAAAGTCAATGGTGCAGTCATCATTACCACTGAAGTTAAGCCTTCATTTTTTGTTTTAATGTAGGAAATAAATAACTGAACTAAGCAGTGTAAACATGTTTTTCTTTTCCATCGAGCCACAGAGGAGGTGAAGGGTGAGAAGGATGCTGTCAAGGAGGTCAGAGGGCAGAGGGAGGAGGTGCCCAAAGGTAACGGCAAACCCACAGAGCGTCCACGATTTATGTTCAATATCGCAGATGGAGGATTCACAGGTAAATACAAATAAAGTTGTTTAAAGCTGCTGTGCCACTTTGTCTTTGTTGAAATACTTAATATGTTGAAGCTTTCTGTAAGCATTCCCATTTATCTGCTCAGGGAGGTGCTCAGTATTTCTGTGAATCACCTGAGCCATAAATGTTTTGACCAATCACATCAAGACAACACTGATTGTCTGTTGACACCACAAGAACTTGCACAGCCCCACCGATACAGCAAAAAGATAAATAAATAAAATAAAAATAAATGCTAACTATATGTTGTATATCTTTTTCAAATGTAAAATATATTTTGTTTAAATTCAAATGGAAAAATGCATTGCAAAATAAAAAGTCATTCAAGTGGCAAGACAATATATAGCTAACGAAAATATATTTACTAATTAAATACAATTTTTTTTTTTCTGTTTGGCAAGACTTTCTTTAGCACTTTCATGAGCTGGCAAGAGAAATACATATTTCACACGACTAAGTTTGAAAGGCAGTCAATGGAGAAAGATGTTATTTGTCTCCTGATGGTGTAATTATGGCATCTACCAGTAGGGGCTAACTGGACCATGTTTAGAAACATTATCTTTTCAATTTTGTTTGGTGCTAATAGCACTGAAATGACACCCTGCAGCTTAAGGATGCAGTGTCAAAAATCATATTGCTAGTTTAGTAGATCACATCACTTATATTAGCGATTGTGTCGCTTCCAAGCGGCTAGCCATCTTACTCGTTGCCACATCTTGACCTTTATCCATGTTTATCCTTAAAACATCACGCTAGTTCATTGTTTGCCAACGTTATGTAAAGGTGCTCTCTCATGTAAAATAAAGCATGTACTGTTATGATAAAACGCAATGGAACAGTGACAGTGACAGTGTGGTCACATTCTGAAGAGCAGTTCAGTTTCTGTTGAACTGTTTTACCAGGAACAGCCAGCAGTGATTTCATCTGTCAGTGGTTTACAATAGATTAGTTTCCATCATTCACCATTGATTATTTCCTAGAATGACGTGTTGAAATACAAAAACCTATGATTTCATGCATTCGGCTTATATTCATGGTCAGTCTGTATGTAAACGCACACTTGTGTATTTATGTTTTGTGTGCAGATACTGTATAAGTGCATACATCAGTATTTCTTTGTGAGACTACTATGAATAATTGGTATGTGGTAAGGGTCAATCATGTAATGGGAGTATTGGGAATATAAAGGGAGAGTTCAGGAGTAGGAATACCATTTTCTCATTACAAATTCTATAATTTTTTTTTGAAGATGAGTGTAATGACCAACACTGAATATTTTTTTCATCTACTATGATTCATCACCTGACTAATATCAAGGCTCAGGTCACTTGAAAAATAAATATTGTATTTGAGTTTTTCTTCCATTTTAAACTGTTAACTACCCAGATATGCCAACTACAAGTGATTAAGTAAATCATAAAATGCAATTGTAGATAATATTTTAATTAATGATGCATGTTGCATTGGTTATCGGCAGATATTAGAGTATATATATATATTTTTTTTTAATTTTGATATTGGTCAGTATTTTCTATTTAATTGTGCATGCTCATTTCTAATTTTTGCCATCATCTAATGCTCACTTAAAGTTAGTCTTTAAAAACACAAATAAATAATTGTAATAATTGTATTCAAATAATAACACTCTTAAATGTAATCTTTATCAAATGTCAAAGTGAATATCTATTTTTCATTTCATAAAATTCATTTTTTAACATTTAAAAAAAAAAATTTTTATTTTTAATGAATATAGCCAAAATAGTATATGTCCATTTATTGGATATTATATCCATTTATTATCTGTGCATCCCTAATTTAACATTTTCATCCCTTAATATTTACCAGCCCTCTGTTATAACAGGCTAGTGGTCATTTTCTGGTCTATTAAGCCTCGTTTCCACCGAGCAGTATGGTACAGTACAGTACATTTCAGAACGGCACACTCTGATCCGACTCGCATTTCCACTGCCAACAGTTCCATTTACATTTACATTTACATTTATTCACTTGCGACTTACAATTGGGGAATACATAAAGCGATTCTTCTTAAAGAGGCAAACAGACACAGGAAGTGCTTGAAATACCAAGTTTTAGGCATTGTTCAAATAAGTACAAGCTAGAAAAGGGAAGGAATAAATAAAGAGAAATAATTTTTTTTTAAGATGAAGTCAAGTAGCGTTCAAGTAGTTAAGTTCCCTTACTTGATAGGCATGATGTATGCCGGAAAGTAGCGATCGACATCATTCTCACATGAAGAAGAAAGCGCAACATTGGCTGTGTGTGAAAATATAAAATTCTAAAATATACTGTTATTTTTTTTGTGTTTGCGCACACTGATGTAAACAAGCCCAACACGCATGAGCAGCATGGCAGAACGAGTGTAGGAGACGTTTCGTTCCCCTTGTGTTGTCATTCCCTTTGTAGCACGTGCAAGTGACGATTCTCTGTCAACCAATCAAGCGAGTCTAGCTCCACTGTGCTAGGTACCCCAACGGAAGGGTCCCATAAAAATGGTGTGGTACAGTTCGCTATTTTGACAATGGAAACAGAAATAATTTCGCACCGTACTGTACTGTACTAAATCTTACCGCTCGGTAGAAACAAGGTTTTATTTCTTAGATTTTTCCCAGCCCCAGTGACTATAAATAGTTTCAGTTCCCAGAAGCCTTTTATCACTTTATGTAGTTTAATTTACAGCTTTAAAAGACATCAACTAAACATCGAGGAGTTTTTACTTAGCGTTCATAAACATTTCACCAGCGCTGAGAAAACATTTCAAGCATACACGAAGCATACATCCTACACCCTAGACTAGAGTAGTTTATTGCTAGGTAACGTGATTTACACGCATGCTAGCTTTGTTGTCTAAGGATTGTTACCTTTTGTTTATTTACTTGTCAGCAGGGATAAATGGATTGTAAATGATATCTGGCCGTGTTGTGTTTTTCTTTTATGCACAGAACTCCACACTCTTTGGCAGAATGAGGAGCGGGCGGCCATTTCATCAGGCAAGATCAATGAGATCTGGCACCGGCGACACGACTTCTGGCTGCTGGCAGGCATCGTGTGGTATCCTTGGAGATAGGCTGCTGTCACCGTAGAAATAATCCAGTTCCATTAATGTATATTTATATTGTATTTGCTAAATGAAGAGTTTGTTTAGAGCTCAAAGCCAAGAAGAACAAGGAAATAAAATGAGATGGAAAAAACTCAGTTGCTACAAAATACATGTTTCCAAGCTAAAGCTACAGACAGCAAAATTGTTATTCTTGTATCGAAAATAAAGATCTCTTTACATTTGTTGAACACATATCATGGTCTAGTGTAGTTTGACAGGTTTGATCCTTGACCTGTTGAAGCCATGGCTATGCTCGGTGGCAGGACATTCAGAACGACCCGCAGTTCGCCATCATAAACGAACCTTTCAAAACTCAAGCCAACAAGGGAAACTTCTTAGAGATGAAAAACAAGTTCCTGGCCAGGCGGTTTAAGGTATGTTGTAAATAGAGAATATAAATACAGTTTTTTTGTTTAGTTTCTTTTCTTTTTGTTTGTTGTGATATCCGTGGTGGAGTTTAATTTGGTTTTCACTGTGGCTTTTGCAGTTATTTTACACTTTTTGTCTACCGCAGTAGGTCATTGTTTGACAGCTGCCTCTTATGTTCTGTCATTTTGTATCATAATTATATACTTCTGTGTCTTGTTTTGGCTTGCTTCTTACTCTACCTTTTGTTCTGCTGTTTGTATGACTCCAGCCTGAAGATTTTATCTCTACACGTCGACACGTCACAATCGCAAACCCAAACCTGAATATGCTGACATGCATTCTTGTGAAACAGCCTTGTCTCATTGTTTTTCCTGTTATTCTTTTCATGACATGTTTCATATCCTTTTCTGTACATCCTCCTTTTTCTTTTCTCAGCCTCCCTCACTCTCGTTCTGTCTCTCTGTCTTTCTCTTTCTTCTCTTACATAATTCGGAATGCATTGAGCAACCTGAGAACCGCCGTTATTCCAGTGGAACTTCTTTTAATTGGAAGCTGGTGCTTTCTCATGCTCATAAATCACTGGAACGGTTCATTTTTCTGTCAATTCTGTTCAATACATTTCTTAATTCCCTAATATTTTGTGGCCTATTTTTCTCTCCCTCTATCGCTCTCCCTCAATCTAGCTGTGTTTTCAATCTTAGTTTTCTTTGTTCTCTCAGCCTCTTCACTCTTTCACCCATGATGCTTGTTCCATTGTCTTTTCCTCGCTCTCTTTTAAAGCGGGTTTAATTTATTTTTATTTTTGTGCTTAGATGATGTAATGAAAAGGTTACACTACTGTTCAAAAGGGGTCAGTAAGATATCATTTTTTTAATGCTTTTATTCAACAAGGATGCATTCAATTAATCAAAAGTGATGGTAAGTTAGATGTTACAAAAGATTTCTATTTAAAAAACAAAATGCTGTGCTTTTGAACTTTCGATTCATCAAAAAATCCAGAAAGTTTTCCTAAAAAATATTAAGCAACTGTTTTCAACATTGATAATAATATAAAATGTTTCTTGAGCACCAAATCAGCATATTAGAATGATTACTGAAGGATCATGTGACACTGAAGACTGGAGTAATGACTACTGAAAATTCAGCATTACCATCACAGGAATAAATTAACAACACTTCTTAAAAAAAAAAAAATATATATATATATATATATATAGAGAGAGAGAGAGAGATGTTTTGCTGCAGGGATGCATCGGATGCATCGTGTTTGCTGTAAGAGGTCAGACAGAGAGAGAGAGAGAGAGAGAGAGAGAGAGAGAGAGAGCGAGCACAGTTATTTTAAATAGTAATGACATTGTAACAACATTATTGTTTTACTGTATTTTTTATCAAATAAATGCAGCCTTAGTGAGCATGAGACTTACTGACCCCAACAATGGTGTTTATAAATTTATATACATCTAAGTTGGTATGAATAAAATAATGACATAAAATACATATAAAATATAATATATGCCTTTTGAAGCACCGTTGCCTTAGCCATACACATTTAGATGGTCATCTTTAGCCGCTGTGCCACTTAAGATAGTCAGTGGGTTGCCTGAACAATTAGCTGACTAATTTTGTAAACATGTAGTACTGTATAGTTTTACACATGTCTACATCTAAGATATCTCTCTCTCTCAGTTGCTAGAGCAGGCCCTGGTGATAGAGGAGCAATTGCGTCGGGCTGCATACCTCAACATGACCCAGGACCCGACTCACCCGGCCATGGCCCTGAACGCTCGCTTTGCTGAGGTTGAATGTCTAGCCGAGTCCCATCAACATCTCAGCAAGGAATCGCTCGCAGGAAACAAACCTGCCAATGCCGTCTTGCATAAGGGTGAGGAAAGTTGTGTGTGTGGGATTTATCTCATAAATATATTTAAATGAAAAATGAGAGGGAATATGTTTGTGTGTAACTCAGACAAAATTTGCTGGCGTCTTGAGGGTCTGATAAAAGGCTTCTGAATAGATCCAGTGGGACCAGTGCTCCTGCCAGCTCTGATATGGGAACAGTTCAAGAACACAAGGCACTTTTAATGTCCTGGAGTTTTCTCAAGCTTGTTGTTTAATCTGTACCGATAAACCATTTATTGGAAACCAGTTCACTTGGCTTGTCACTCTTATTATTGTCTGAAATTGCTGAGAGAACTGCTAATAAATTTCACTTTAGACAGTCAGAATCCATTATGTCACTTTCAGTTAGCTTTCTGAACTGTCAATTCGCTTTCAAAACTGATATTGATAAAAAGGTGCCTCTTTGATAAGCTTCAAAACAAGTGCTACTTTAGTATTATTAATACACTATAATAGTATTTAGTCATATTTTGAATTTAATACTTTATTAAGTTAACTTTTATTTTTATATTTTCAGTTTTAATTTTAGTTTAGGTTTTAGTAATTTTGTATTCATTTTTGTTTTAAATATTTTTTATTTCATTTTATTTTATTTAGTTTTAGTAATATTAGCACTTCAACTTATTTAAGTTTTTTGTATCTAATATTTATATTTCATTTTATTTCAGTTTTATTTAAATTCATTAAAACGTTTTTTTTGTTTTTGTTTTTTTTCAGTTTCCATTTTACTTTTAGTTTACAATAACAACACAAACAAAAAATCTCTTCAAAGAACAAGTGACTGTTTTTGGAAATATTTAATCTAACTGTTTTCAGGCTTAATGAATTTCAGAGTATTTGGTAAAAAGTGAAAAAAAAAAGTGACGTGACATGTGGCCAAGTATGGTGACCCATACTTGGAATTAGTGCTCTGCATTTAACCCATCCAAAGTGCACACACACAGCAGTGAACACACATACACCGTGAACACACACCCGGAGCAGTGGGCAGCCATTTTTGCTGCGGTGCCCGGGGAGCAGTTGGGGGTTCGGTGCCTTGCTCAAACTTTGGGTTACGAGTCCGACTCTCTAACCATTAGGCCACGACTTCCCCTAAAGAATATAATATAATAATTAGTGCTGGGCAACTATTAACATTTTTAATCGAGATTAATCGCATGGTTTTCTGCGATTAATCACATTGTTATGAACAAAATTCAATAATGAATTCAAAAGTAGTGAAGTAGCTATATGAACAAAGGTGAAATAACATTTGGTTTGCAAACACTTTAAACAAATAAGGTACTTTTTTACAGCAGTATTCCTTTTACATAGTAGCAGTTAAAATATTTCTTGTAAATCTCAACTTATAACATTAATGTAATCAAATTAAATATAAATCCAAAGCTATTTGCCACTGCCAGGGTGTTAACGTTTTTATAGAAAATATTTTATAGTTTGTTATAGAAAAACAAGTTATACTCAGAGTCCAGAGCCTCAATCATAACATTATAACAGGCACCTTCCGAGTAGAGACCTGCACCATCGCGGGACCTAACACAGCAGAGTGCAGCGCGGGACAACACTTGATGGGCGAGTGCGGGCGGGTAGAGACTCGTGTGTGCGGGATGCGGGAGATTAAGTTTGTATCACACTAGGCAATCTTAACCGTGCCCGAGCGCATCTGACCCCCAAAGCCCGTTTTGTTTGACTAGTGTGATCGCTCCGTGCCGTGGTTCGTTTAGCCGGCCCTGGCTCGGTTGGAAGAGGTGGGCCAGAGCGCGGTTCACTTGGGCTCGTGCGCGGTACGCATGTAGTGTGATCGCTCCATGCCGCGCTCGGTTGGAAGAGGTGGGCCAGAGCGTGGTTCATTTATATATATAGATCAGTGAGTGTGCGCGATAACCGCACCCGAGCGCTGAACTTCTGATACGTGCAGCATGATTGCGTGAACATTTCTGAGCGGCAAAAGTGATAGATCTGTAAAGCAGTGAGAGGGCCATGTGTGTTGCCACATCCCAAACGACTAAAAAATAATAACCCACAAAGTTAATAAAACGATGCACTCCACTAGCGAGAGCGCTTCTTTGCGGTCTTCACGTGCTATCGGAAACTTCCTATTTCCCACTTATGAAGTCGTGAGCACTTCATGTAAGCGCTGCTGCAGTCTTAGGCCCTCCCCAAATGCTCTCATTGGTTGATACGCATGGTGACACCCATCCCAAGCCAGTACTGATCAACATCCCACCCCTCCTGTGACCCATGGTTTGTCTGTGTATTCAGAGCCAGTAAGCAACGGACTTTCATAATAATAAAAAAACTGCATTAACACGCAATAAAATAATTGTCGGCGTTAATCAATTAATGCGTTAACACGATAATAACGCGTTAACTTGCCCAGCCCTAATAATAATGCTTCACGCTCTTTTAGTCGTTAAAGTCGACATTCTTAATACATGTTCCTGGTCTTATTTATCAGTACATGTTATTCCAAAAAAGCATGCCTTCATAAAAGTTTGAAGCAAAGAGATGTACTCGATTATCTTAGGCAGCCTAGAAACAGTATTCTTTCTATTAACAATTACACTTTTAACTTTACAACCAAATCCTGTCTGCTCCTTGGCATGTTGTAATGATGGACATTTTTGTAGTTCTTAACCAACTGGAGGAGCTTCTGAGTGACATGAAGGCAGATGTAATGCGGCTCCCAGCCACACTCTCTAGAGTCCCGCCGATCACAGCCCGCCTGCAGATGTCAGAGAGAAGCATCCTCAGCAGACTGGCCAACAAAGGCAACGAGACACACACACCGCCGGTAAATACACAAACACATATAAAATAATTGCATATTAAATAATTACAAAGTACACTACCGCTCAAAAGGTTGGGGTCAGTACTTTCTTTCAGCAATGATGAATTAAATTGATTAAAGTGACAGTAAAGGCTTTTATAATGTTACTACAGATTTCTGTTTAAAATAATTGCTTTTGAGCTTTCAATACATCAAAAAATCCTGAAAAAACTATATCATGGTTTCCTCAAAAATATTACTGCTTTCAGCATTGATAATAATAAATGTTTCTTGAGCTGCAAATCAGCATATTAGAGTGATTTGTGAAGGGTCATGTGACACAGAAGACTGTAGTAATGATGCTGAAAATTCAGCTTTGCCATCACAGAAATAAATTACATTTTAATATTTACTAAAATAGAAAATGTTAATTTGAAATTGTAATATTTCACATTTTTACTGTATTTTTGATCAAATAAATGCGGCCTTGATGAGCATATGAAACTTGTTGAAAAAAAAATACTTGAAAACTCTTACAGACCAACAATAGTGTACATACACTCTTCACAAGTGGCTTTCTCGGGTTTATAACACACACTCTCTCTCTTTCTCTCTTCATCTAGCCTATTCCTCCAGGCCCGTACGCCACCCCACAGAACTACGGCCCTCCTTTCACACCTGCACCTTCAATGGCTCTCACTCTGGCTGGGGCCAGCTACAGCCAGATGTCCCCTGGAGCTTTCATATCAGGTCAGTTTTGCTGATCCGTCCCCAGAAAGGCACCCCAAAACAGCCTCCAGTTATCTCATACTCTGGTTACTCTGAACTAGGGCTGGGTCAAAAATATCGATATCTCGATTTTAATCGATTCTCATTTTTACGGAACGATATCGATTCTTAAATCCCAAGAATCAGTTAGTCTAGCCTGTTTTCAGTTAATGGATGGAACATTGAAGGGCACCTCCCATCCAATATATCGCAATAAGCATTGTGCTTTGGTACTTTTAATATGAAACAAAGTCTCAGATTTAAAATTCTATCCATTGTATTGCAGTATTTAAACAAATGCCGTTTTGGCGCTGTTTAATGTGGAGTGACAGATCGCTGTACCTCAGAAAAACATATTCGGTGACCATAAACTCATTAGTAAGCTAGAAAAATAAACTGTAGAGAGGGGCATTTTGCTAAATATATGCACCATATAACATATTCATTATAATTTTTACTGTTCTTCAATGTTTCATTTATGTTTGAATAAATCCATCAAGTTTTTGACAGCCACCATTTAAATGTTTATATTTCAAAAAATGAATTGAAGTAGAAGTATTATTATGTAGCTAATTGTAACTTTATTATTTTAAAAACTTCATTAAGTGTAATTTTAGCAGTTGTATATTAGCCTACAAATAAGTCAATTTTAACCTTTAATATTATAATGTAGTACCAGCTGACTCTCATGTATATTTTACAGCATTAGTTGAGAGATTTGTTTTCCTTGAGAAAATTTGGCATGTACTGTACCTGATATATATCCAAAATAATCTATATCGAATCGAATCGCAAGCTTGTGAATGAGAATCAAATCGAATCGTGAAATTTGTGTCAAAACCCAGCCCTACTCTGAAACATTATAAAGGCTTTTCATTTGCACTGATGAAAAAGCATATCAGCGTGTGTCAACTGCTCATATTAAACGAAGTATGTTTGTACTCAAAAGCACTCAGGGTAGTAAAACTGTTGATTTTATTTTTTCTGTGATTTTAGAAACAGTCTGTGTGTGTTGTGCTGTTTATGTGTATATATGGTATAAGTGTCTGAGCGTCTTTCTTTTTCAGAAATAGAAAGTCAAATGCTGTGATGTGGAATTCTAAACATAAAGTTCTTAAATGACAAAGTTTAATTGAAATCTGTTTTGACCAGCTGGGGGTACTGATGTGTATGTTTGGTTGGTTTAAATTTGAAAGGCAGATTTGCTTGCCATCTGTTGATCATGGCAGTCTCAAAATGTGAAAACAAAGTGCTTCTTCTAAGCAGCTCTGGATTAGAGCATCTGCTGGATGGTTATATGGTGAGGTTAATTTTTTTGGATGTTAAATTCTCCTGTCACTGCTTAATATGCAGAGACAGCTATAAGTAGGCTGTTCATAGGTTGATTCTGCCAAAAAAATTAAACACTTGTGGCTCTGTGGTGCTATCAAAACATTGCTCTAAAAGTTTGAGCATCCAATGGCTTGAGTTAGGGGCAGAGCCACCTGTTTTGCTGGCCAATGACAGATGGAGAGGGGAGTATTCTGAAAACCTGTTTGCAAACAATCATTATTTTTGCAGTTCCTTTTGGTGACAAGTGCTGTAGAATGTACTTTACCTTTAAGGGTTGACGAATTCTTGGTAACGTTACTAAAATGTAAACAGATTTGTAAATAATTACACCATACACATATAAAACACCAGTGAAAATGAATGAATTTTTTTGCAACCTTCCCCTAAAGAGGTGTAACTACATACTCAACAAAACAATACTGACTTTTTCTAACCTTTTTTTTTATTAAATTGCAATTTATTGCAAGAAAATCTCTCTAACTTTACCTACACATTGCACATTGTCCTACAAACATCCAGTTAGTAAGCAAATGAGATGTTCATACAGCAAATGTTTCAGATTGAATTGGTATTTCAGCTGATTTAAACCAATACTGTGAGTCTTTTTAATTGATTCATTAAAAGAGTAATTTGTGAATCAGACTACACCAGTGTTAATTTAGTATTATTTATATACTATTATAGATATTTTGAAATGGTTTTTATTTTTATATTTTCAGTTTTTATTTTCATTTTTAACTTTAGTATAATATTTAGTTATTTTATGTGCTTTTGTAATTTTATTATTATTTTTTTTAAATATTACTATTTAGGTTTCATTTATTTTTATTTTTATTTTAGTTTTCAGTTTAAGTTTTTAATTATTTCCAGTTAGTAATCTTAGTGATTCATCTTATTTCAGTTAGTTGCTAAGGCAGCATTTCAATTATTTGGAACTTTTTAGTTTAAAGGGATAGTTCACCCAAAAATGAAAATTCTGTCATTAACATCTAATATTGATATTTTACTTTATTTCAGCTTTATTTCAAATAACAAATGAGTTTTTAATAGTTTTAGTTTTTAGCAAGCAGTGATTTATTAGTTGATAAATGGACAGCGCTTTCTAACCTTACCATCTCATGATTAATGTGGCAAAATCCACGATTCAACTTTCCTTTGTTTTTTTTTCCCTCTTGTTTTTTCTTGTGCTTTCTCTCTCAGTCTATTTGTGTTTATGTGGGAGTATATGTGGGTGTACGAATGCTCTATTTCACAATAATCTGTGAGGTCAGTGTATGAGAGGCTGGATTTGACATTTGCTATGTAGTTTCTTATAAAGCACTGATTCTTGAAAAAGATTTAATCAGTTATCAAACTTTTAATGGACCTGAAATGATTTGTGTTCAGTATTTAGTAGTTTAGTATTTAGTCCTTTTAATCGTAAAACACGGTTGTCACTTTTCAGAAATGAATGTCACTTTTCAGAAATACAAGCACATGTTCATGTACATAAAGTCACACTTTATGTATTCATATTTCTGCAAAAATATGATTCTGGTTAGCACACTTAATTACATTTTAATTTGAGAGGGCCCTGTGTAATTTTGGCAAAATTATTTCACGTTCTCCATCTCTGGTCCAAGAGAACAGATTAGCCTTGCCAGTGAGTTTATTGTTTCAATATTAGCTCTGTAACAGCATATGTCTGCAGGAAGCACTGAAAAGAACAAATTTAGTTGTTTTTGTTTGGCGTTTTCTGTTTATTCTTTCAGAGGCCAAACTCTGTCCATCGTCCTGACTGTTTTTACCCGTACAGAGTCAAAGGGTTTCTGGATCGAGTGTCCTGATACCAATCTTTCTACCACAGCGTCTAAGGGAGGCATATTTTCTTGCCATGGTGCTTTTTCTGAAAATGTCATTACAGTTATCCAGAACCTTAGCCGTGCCAGGAATCGCTCAGCCGAGGGAACATTTTTTTGCTTTTCTACTAAGATATTTTTAAGAGAGTAAAAAAAAAACAAAGAAACACAAATGTGCTTGTGCCTTTACGCCGGTTTTTTAAACCCCCTGGAGGCAGAACTAGACTCTTGCTCGCTCGCTTGCTCTCTCTTTGTCTGTCTCTCTCTTTCAGTGTCTGTCACTGAAATAGCCCCAGACTTCAGATCCTGGTGGGTGCAGAGGCTGATTGGGTTTGTTGAGGCTGTACACGCTGAACCCTCGCCTGGCTAAAAATATGCCCTACTTGGGGCCCGTTTGAACCCTCTGGTCCCTGATTAAGACAACTGCGGTGACCCCAGTTTAAACCGAGCCAGGGAGCGAGATGAAAACAGCATGCCAGACTAAACAAAAAAACGAGAGAGAGAAAGAGATATAAAAGAAAAGAGAAAAATGAAGGACAGACTGTGTTGGTCTGTTTAACGTACTCCATAATAGGACATTTTTTGGACCCAGTCAGACATCTCTCTAAAAGACAGAAGAAGAAGTGAGAGGGAGGAGAGAGACAAAATGGAGTGTGAGCTACGCTTTGCCTCTGTAAAAATCCTAGCGGACCCCATAACATCTCTCTCAATCCTTCTTAAAGTTGTCAGAAATAAAGACCTTGGCGAGCACGTCTTGTTTTCTTTTTTAAGTCATTGCCACTTAAACTCTTACCGTTTTACATGTCATGAACTTTATGGAGCAAAAAAGGTTTTAGACACATTATGTCAACACGAACCGCTAACATCTATTTTAATTTTTTTTTTACCTTGTGAAAGTTCAGTGCGTCACTGCTCTCGCAGCCAGTGGATGTCCTGACTCTGGCTTTCGGGATTATTTGTAAGAGCGGGAGACACAAAACTGGGAGATTTTATGGGGGTTTTTTTCGAAAGAGAAGGCCTCCTTCCAGCCTCCTGACTACAGTTATGTTTTTTTTTCTGTTTTCTCAATATTGAGGACTGATGCTATGCCACTGATTGACCACTCCCTACCCCCCCCAAGTGTCTACAGTCTGCCCCCTTTCTGCCTCCACAGAAGCTCCGCCCTGCCTGAAGACCAAGGAACATGATGTGCTGCAGCGCCAGAGGGTGGTGGACCTGTGGAAGGATGGCAAGTCAGAAGGGTCAATTGGGCATGAGCTTCGCATGCCCAAATCCACTGTGCACAGCATCATTGTCAAGTATCGCCTCAGCAACACGGTGGAGAACCTGCCACGCAACGGACGGCCCAAAAAACCATGATCTGAAAGAGCGATGGATGGAGGATGAGTGGGATGAAGTGAATATAGAATGTGAGGGACAGAAAGGCTAGGGGGAAAAAAGATAAATAAATTAGACAGGATTGGAGGGTACAAGGAGGTGGAAATGTCTGAAAATACTGTAGCTGAGAGAATATTGTAGCAGGCTAGGAAGAGCTGCTGGACTTCTTGAGAGAAGATACTCTTCAGGCAACATGGTTAATAATAGATAGACAAAACGAGCAAATGCAAAAGAGAGAAATTAAGTAGGGAAAAGAGAGCTGAAACGAGAGCCGTTTGGACGATGAAAACACAGACCTCTTCTTCCCTTTCCAGCACTTTTTTTCTCTCTCTATCTCTCTTCCACTCTCACTCTCTCTCCCCTTGTCCCCTCCATTCCCTTTCTTTCATCTGTCGGTCTGAGAGAAGTCCCAGCAGATGGCCAAAGGAGCGAGAATGCTCGTTTAAGTGCCCGAAACCTTCCCTCCCTAATTTCACCACAAATCACTATTTCTCTGCATCACTTTATACAGTATCTCTCTTTCTTTTATCATTTATCCACTCTCCTTCTCTCTTTCTCTCTCACACGCACATGCTGCCTCACAATGTCAGAAGTGAAGGATTCCAAAGACAGCAGTTTTTCCAAAATACCACAAGTTTGTTTTCTGTCATTAATACCCCTGATCCAATCAAAACTGTTTTGGAACTGAGGCACAGTGGAGTGGAACTATCTTTTTCCTGGAAACTGCGGACCTCTCGAAAAACTCTCCAACCATGGACTCTCTGCGTTCCTAAACCAGGACTGTGAAATGTTAAAATGGCACGAAATCACTCCGTATTTATGAAGACTGACTCTTCATCACAGCAACCTGTCCAGTGGGGTGATGCAGACAGATATATATCTGCAGCTGATCTGAGATTAGTTGTATGATTTTCCAGAGCTATCTTATTGAAGGAATGCACTGATCTTGGGTCAGAAGACCTTCATTCTGAGTAAGCACACGATTCAGCCTGTCTGACCAAATTCCTGTGCTGTGCTAGAGCCAGATTCAATCCCCAGCAGGACGTTTATACAGTACATGACTGTTGTATGAGAACTCCCTGCATTCTACAAAAATGCACAAACACTCCCACGTGTGCACACTCATGCACGCTTGAGAGCCACTTAAGTAGCTCTGTATTTTCCACCACATGGTGTGTTTTATTGTAATGGCGTGGAGTGTGTGTGCGTGTGTGTGCATGGTCTTGCAGTATCAATGAACTGAAGCTGATTGTGCGTATGTTTGTGTTCGCTTGTGAGTGTACTGTACGAGTGAAGATTCAGGGCTGCCGGTGTGTGGGTTCTTCTGTGTGAGTGATTAATTGTGTGAGTGTGCTGGTTGTTTGGATAAGCTGGGTCACTGAGGCCATCTCTGTATGTTTTTCTGGTTTACTGAGAAGTAGAGAGGTTGGTGTGCTGGAGCAAAACTGGGTGCCCTCAGATCAGAGAAAGTGGCATACAGAGAAAGATGGTTGAAAGGTAGACAGTCTGAGAAAGAGATCTGAAGAACACTTTTATGGGCGATTGGTGGATATGTTGATAAGCATTTAATGTGTTGATTTTTTCTTCAATTAATTTGGATGAAAAAGCCAAATTTATTTTCTGAATTTTATAAAAGCAAGTTAATCCACATGTTGCCTAGTGCTCTCTTCCAAACACTGTGCAAATTGAAGGCTGTAAAAACAAATATAGATGTATAAAAGTGGGCTTTGCTAAACACGATGGGCAATAAAATGAATAAAATAAAATATAAATGTTACAAAAATCAACTGTTTACAGGAACACAAACATTTCCAGACATAGAGTTTGTGGTTAGTAGGGTTTGTTGAATGTTTTTGAAAGATGTCTGTTATATTCACCAAGGCTGCATTCATTTGATATATCATTCTGATATGCTGATTTGGTGCTCAAGAAATATTTCTTATTATTGTCAATGTTGAATAGTTGTGCCGCTTTATATTTTTGTGTAAACCATGATTCATTGTTTTCAGGATTCTTTGATTGAACAGAAAGCTGAAAAGAACAGCATTTATTTGAAATAGAACTTTTGTAACATTATAAATGTTTTTACTGTCCGTTTGATCAATTTGATGCATCCTTGCTGAATAACAGCATTAATTAAAAAATAAAAATAAAAATCTTACTGTCCCCTAACCTTTGAACGGTACTATAGTAATATGTTAATATAATTTTTCCTGAATAAGTTTTCCTGTAAAGGAACTTATATATTTTTATCTCATTACAGTTACTGCCCTGTTAAAAATATTTGTACTGGTAAAACCTAAATTTAACATCCAACAGAAAATATTTCATCAAAATGTATTATTGACCTTCATGATTTCTCACAAAGTGAAGACTTTAAAATAAAACAAGGCCCAATTAATAGATAATGATAATGTTGTTTTATACTTAATTCGTTTTTATTATTTTTAATATTCATTATTATTGATTTTATCAATTAATCATTACAGCCCTAGATATGAGAGGCAGACAGCCTGAGAAGAGAGACAACAATAAAAGAAAGAGTCAGTCTGAGAGAGTGAATCGGTCCGAGAGGGACAGAAAGACTTGTCTGACAGAAACACACGGTCTGAAAGAGATATTTTGGAATAGAGAGACAGTCTGGTTAAAAAAGGTAATCTGAGAGAGACAAGTCTGGGAAAAAGAAGCAGCCTGAAAGACAGTGAGACAGTCTGTGAGAGAGACAGTCTGAGTGAGAAAGTCAGATAGTTCCAAGATTGTTGATTGTAGAAGCAGAGTCAAGTCACTCCGAGATATGAATCTGAGTAATGAATTATTTTCCTTGGCTCACGCTGCAGGAGTATGCAGTACAATGTTCAGAGATATGAAAGTCACCCAGCGGGTTTCTAGCTCAGCATTTCCCCCTTGTAAAGAGCCTCAATGCATTCCAAGCTCTCTCCAGACGCGTTCCCATCTGAAGGCCATGCATTCTTCTTCTCTTATTGCATGTTTACGAAACGGTGCCAGTCTTAATCAGATAATTGAACTCAAGCGTTAGCACCGTTCCAGTGCACACATTTCTTTTTTGCACACTCCAGAACATTAATATCAGCCAAAACCTGTAGCACAAAAAACAACTCTAGCGTTATTGTCCTTGGAAAAACTTTGGTTGTGTAATTTTGAGGAACACGTGCCAAGAGGGATTGTTCCTTTGAAGATCTTGCAACTGTTCTTCAGTTCCCTGCATGTTTAGGCCTGAGACAAAACAGGTACCCTGAGTGCACAGTCAAGGTGGCTGTCGGTCACCTTGTGTTCAGGATATTGTGCAACAAATAAATTACATTTTGATTTGGAAAAATGTCTTGAAATAGAGATGCAGTTCTTCAAACCAAAGGCAGTAAATGCTATAACCCCATTTACAGAATAGAATAGCGACATATTCGCATGACCATCTTGAACGTGATTAAAATCTGCAAATCTCATGCAAAACTCCGAATTGTGCAGATTCCTGTTGAAATGACTGGATTTCGCCCATGAAATTTCACTGAGCAATGGTAAATGTAGCCGTAACTTTTTATTGTGGGTCATTTATAGTCATTTCATGCGTTCACTAGAACACGTACAGTACTGTAGGATGTTCCCGGCAGGACAGTTAGACGTGTCTTAGATGTTTATATGTGACACAAATGATGGCAGCTATCATGTCTGTCTGAGTCATACTGTGAGTTTGCAAAAAAATTAAAAATCTACACGTACAGCAAATGAAGCTAAAGAATTTCAAACACTATACACTCACTATGTGCTTGTGTGTGGTGAACTAAAATGCTCAGTACTGTTGTCCTCACATATATCTTTTTATAGAAGATGAGGTTTTGTATTATTATTATTACTGTGTATGGTATATAGTATACTCTGACTGTATGCAAGTTTACCCATTAAAGGATGTTAACAATGGAGCGCAATGTGGATGTATTTATTTATTTGTTTGTGGCTAGGTAGGGATGTGCAATATATTGGTACTGTATCAGTTATTAGTAATGAATAATGTTTATGGGTTGATTTTGGATATTTAATTGTGCATGTTAATTACCCCTATTTTTACATTTAGGTTACCATTGCTGGCATCTATGCTGGCAACTAAAAGTTATACTTTAAAAACGCTTAAAATTTGTTTAAAATTAGTGACAGATCTTTTCTTCCATATTGTTACTTACATCCGAGGAAAAAGAATTTTTGAAGAAAAAAAAAGAAAGAAAATGTAAAATGGGACTTGGTTCTATCCATTGGTTGTTGAGTTGGATTTTAAGATGTGAGATGTGTAAGACCAATAAAATATCAATTTACAAAATTGATGATAGGATGAATTTTAATTTCATGTCGAATTTGATTGTAATATTTATCTCAAAATATCTCAAAATGATCATCTGTCTTTTATGCTTTCAGTTATAATGTTGTGATACCTAAACTCACAACATCTAAAATGACTGAAATCCAGAAGATTTCTTTTTATCGTCTATTAATCAGTAAGTTGTCGCCATTGTGCTCTTGATCATGTTGCTTTAGATAGAAGCAAAATGACTGCTTTCCAAACAATGTTAGAATAGCCAGTGGGTCAAATTTACCAATAATTGTGTCTTCAAGTCTTCAAGTACGTAATTTACACACATATTTGTCCCTGAATAGTCCATACTTGGTATAATAGGAATGATGGGCATGAAAACTCTGCAATGACAGCATTAATGATGACTTTTAACCCAATTTAGGGAACAACTTTATCCTAATATTAGAGAAAAATCCAAACCTATGGATGAATCATGATTTCTTTGTGAAAACATTCACACATGGTTTTTTCCGCACAAATATGTGCATATTCACGGTTAGTGAATGAAACTTAATGAGACAGAAAAGGAAAAGAGGAAGAAGTCAGCCGGTGAGAAATGAAAAATGCGATATAATAAAGATTAGAAGGTCAACTGTTTCAACTGTTTTGCTGTTTTGATATAAACAAAAAATGCTGACTATAATTAGTGTACAGATCATTAACTTCCCTTCCTGTATGTTTCCCTACAGTGTTGAACGGACCCCCCATGTCGGTAAAGAAAGAGAGGGAGGTAGAGCTTCTTATGGCACGGAGGGAACAGCGCAGCGTGGAGGTGATCTGCATCGACGACTGAATTCAGCGCCTCCCGACCCACACACGCTGACTCAGTCGAAGGACATCTGCATGCAAACGTAAACACAACTATTCCTGAACGCATACATGCACACATGCACCTGCAGTTGACGAATGAACAGACTACCCTCAGTATCACGGCAGCACTTTCACGACACCTCGAGTTATAGCTACTCAAAATTCAGCAGCGCTTAGGCTCGCCTTTGGTTATTTCCTCCTGTACACATACTGTATGTGCGCATATACACACACACACACACACAAATATTTGATTTCCTTTCCTCTCATAACTATCTGTCCCAAATCAGCTTCACATTTCAGACCAATCCACACGCTCACGTTCATCCCCTCGACATGAAGCTGCATGTATGTGGAATAGCTTCACATTACCCGCAGTGATTTGTTTTCCAACAGCATGCACCTCACAGTTTAGTCAAGACAAACGCCCGTGCATTGAGCTGTGCCGATTCAAGCACAGTGCAATCTTTCAAGCAAACCCTCATCGTAAGCTAGCGTGACTGTTTTGGAGAGGCCATGCACCATCAACAAGCTTCAACCTAAAAGCAATCTTTAATGTTAATGCTTTAACAGGATTGTTCAACACAAAATTAAAATCCTGACATCATTTACGTTCCAAACCTGTATGACTTTCTTTCTTCAGTAAAACACAAAAGAACTGTCGAGATTTTTGAAAAACTGTTGTTTTTTTTTGCTGTCCATACAATAAAAAGTCAATGGGGTCCAAAACAAAACTGGAACCCTTTGACTTTCGTTGAATGGTCAGAAAACATTTTTCAGAATATCTTTTGTTCCACAGAAGAAAGAAGGTCAAACAAGTTTGGAAATGACATTAGGGTGAGTAAATGATGGCAGAAATTTAATTTTAGAGTGAACTGTCCCTTTAAGAGGATTTGGGTGGTTTGGGAGGATATACAGGTGCATCTCAATAAATTAGAATGTCGTGGAAAAGTTAATTTATTTCAGTAATTCAACTCAAATTGTGAAACTCGTGTATTAAATAAATTCAATGCACACAGACTGATGTAGTTTAAGTCTTTGGTTCTTTTAATTGTGATGATTTTGACTCACATTTAACAAAAACCCACCAATTCACTATCTCAACAAATTAGAATATGGTGACATGCCAATCAGCTAATCAACTCAAAACACCTGCAAAGGTTTCCTGAGCCTTCAAAATGGTCTCTCAGTTTGGTTCACTAGGCTACACAATCATGGGGAAGACTGCTGATCTGACAGTTGTCCAGAAGACAATCATTGACACCCTTCACAAGGAGGGTAAGCCACAAACATTCATTGCCAAAGAAGCTGGCTGTTCACAGAGTGCTGTATCCAAGCATGTTAACAGAAAGTTGAGTGGAAGGAAAAAGTGTGGAAGAAAAAGATGCACATTTATTGAGATGCACCTGTACACATATTTTTATGTAAAAAGAGGGGGAAAAATAACAGTACCCTGATCTGTTTTCTTCATCTTTCAAAAAAAAGAAAAAACATGAGGTAAAGTTTATTACCGACCACGACAGTAAGGAAGTAATGTATAATGTTTGATTAAAACAGTATTGGCTGCAGTATTGTCTTGGGATAAAAAGACAAGTTTGTTATGAAGTTTATTTAGCCTTATATTGGGACATCAAGCATTGATATGTAGAGTTCCCTGCCTTTTTAACTATGGACCCTTAATCTTGTGTTACAGTGAGGTGAAGAGTGTTCAAAAGCATCTTTAAACCTCCATAATAGTGTTCAAGATTGTTACTGAAGCACGTTTGGCAGTCCTACACTTTCCAAACTCCTCTTTCACTCTTTCTCTGTCATCCCCCCATCACTTCACCCTCACCTTCTTTCATTCAAACGAATCGCTTACATCTCAGTCCTATCCTTTCTTCACATTTCTACGTGTTTTTACAAGCTCTTTGATATTGTTTGCATATTTAAACTCAGTTTCATTGTGTTCTCCTGTTTTTAACCTGATTATTACAACTAAGATTATTGTTGTTGCTCTTGATGTTGTCCTTGATTGCGAAGCTTCTACCAAATGAAAATAATAATTAAAAAAAACAGTCAAAACATTGATGCATTGTATGTTTGGTCCATTACATTTCTCTATACCGGACCTCTTGTAATGATATTCCACAAAGAGGTCAAAAGGACTTCAGATTGATTGATATCATTGCTATCTAACGGACATCACTTGTATCTAGATTTGGGCCTTGCAAATGCAAACGAATAACTTGTATGCAGTGGATCACATGTAACCATGAAATTGAAAACATATGAATGCATATATTCAAATCAGCAAATGAAATTCCTTCTGCAGTGTTTCTTTACGATCTTTGGCTCCTACAAAAGCAAGCCTTGTAATGTAATCGCCTTAAATGATAATACAACTGTAAAGGGTGAATCAGCAGATGTGAACTCTTGTATATGGCTGCATTTGAACTATTCCTAGCTAGGCCACAACTCAGAGTTGAAATGTTAATTTATTTGCTCTTGTCCCAGTATAGTTCTTCTGATGAAACTGAAATATTGTTGATTTCAGTGCTTGGTATTATTTGGGAGAGTTGTCAAATCAAGCACTTTCTGTCCATTTTTCATTTCTGTCTTTTAATATTTTTGTTGTCAGCCTTTTTTGCATTTTGATTGTTTCCTGCTAAGTGTCACTATGTACGTTGTGATTCCAGACAGTCAGTGACATTGATGTGATCGACATTCGGCACACCGAACGGAACATTTTAATAATGCATCTTTCTCTTTTGTTTTGTTTTGTTTGTAATAAAATAAAAATTCAAATGAACAATTTCTGTTTTGCTTTTCTTTTTATCAAGTAAAGAAGGTTGGAAGAGTTTTATCAGTTAATTTCTACTGCAGAGCTCCAGACTGAATAAACAAAAAATGTAATTTGCAACAGTAATTTAAAACAATACTCGCTACTGACAACAGTTGGGAATGTTTTGTGTGTCCGTTGCGGAAAAAAAAAAAATATTCACAAAACCGCCTCGAACTCGCTAGCGGTTTGAATCAGTGAATCATTCAGAATCAGGACCGTTACTGAATTCACAACTGACTCTCTCACTCACCGATCCACGAGTCCAGGAACCGTTACTGTGATGATTACTTAATTTCATGTTCATGTTTTTGTCTGGTCAAAAACTACACAAAAAAGAGCATTTCGGCACACCGAACGGAACATGCTAATAATTTTCTCGACTTTGGTACAGTCAGTAAGACGTACATGTTTAAATGAAACATATCAAGCAAATGTTCAAATGTCTTTTAAAGTCTTAATATTTTGTCCTATTTGACTACGAATTTTTAATAGGGCTGTGTAAAAAATATATCTCGATTTTAATCGATTCTCATTTTTAAGAAACGATATCGAGTCTTAAAGGGGTCATATGATGCTGCTAAAAAGAACATTATTTTGTGTATTTGGTGTAATGAAATGTGTTTATGCGGTTTAAGGTTCAAAAAAACATTATTTTCCACATACTGTACATTATTGTTTCTCCTCTATGCCCCGCCTTTCTGAAACGTGTCGATTTTTACAAAGCTCATCGGTCTGAAAAACGAGGTGTGCTCTAATTGGCCAGCTATCCAGAGCGTTGTGATTGGCCGAATACCTCAAGCGTGTGACGGAAATGTTACGGCCCTTACCATATTGTGATGATGCCGTCAGGCCGGAGCGAGGAGACAAAAACATTAAAACCCATTATAAACGAGGCATTTGTTGCATCCAGTGGGGACATAATTACGGATTATAATGACTTATACTGTCTTTTTACGAGTTGCGTTGCATCGCGCCGCGTAAACATAAAACCATGTCTGCATTTGTGATCGGAGAAATGACAAACAACAAGCGCTACTCTACACTGCTCAAAACTCGCGTTTGAATCGTCAGTGGCAAATTCTTTAAATATAAAAACATACTTACAGTCTGTGAGTCAGAACAGCCGGCATTGTAGTCGACTCTACCAGGATCAGGAAACAGTCCTCCATAAAATGGAGGCTGGACACATCTGAATATTTGGGTTAAACTGTTCTGGAACAGTGTTGTAAATACAAATTAACCACTGATTTCTAGTCATGTCCATTTTTGGAAGGCCAAACAAAGTAGTTTCGCTTTCACAAAGGAACACAGCGTCACACACGGCGGCCTAGAGTGAGCGGCAGCCGGGGGCTAGAGTGAGCAGAGGCGGCGGGCTTGAGAACGGCGCGGCCGGCGG